GGAATGCGATTGGATCGCGTTGGATTGCGCAATGGATTGCGTGTTGGATTGATTGTTGGATTGATTGTTGGATTGCATATTGGATCGCGTGTTAGATCGCGTGTTGGATCGCGTGTTGGATCATGTGTTGGATTGCGTGTTGGATTGATAGCGGGTTGGATTGTATGTTGGATTGCGTGATGGATACCGGGTTGGATTGCGTGTTGGTATGCGTGTTGGACTGCGTATTGGATTACGTGTTGGTATGCGTGTTGGATCGCGCGTTGGATCGTGCGCTGGATGGATCGCGCGTTAGATGGGTCGTGCATTGGATGGATCACTCGTGTTGGATCGCGTGTGTTGGATCGCGCGTGTTGGATTGCGTGTTGGATTGCGTGTTGGATTGCATGTTGGATTGCGTGTTCACTTCTTCAGCAGTCCATTATTCACAAGAACAAGAGACATAAGCTTGAGATGGACTGGGGAGTGCTGGAAAGCAGCTGCAGCAGCAGGCACAAGCGGGGTTGCGATTCAGGTTCAGGCATCAAGATCAGCGTCGGCCTGGGTGGTGTCAGCAGTGAGCTGTGCGCGGCGCACGCCCCAGAAGGCGGGCGGGTTGAGGCCGCGGCGCACAGCAGTGAAGCGCCAGCCCACGTGCATGCCGCAACGCCCACAGTGTGCTATGGTCCACGCGTACCTGCGCCAGTGCCAGAGGGTGGGGAGCGGTGGGGCGGTCAGGTGCGACGCGACACAACAAAGGGGGTACAGCGCAAGGTGGGGAGAGGGAAAAGCTCATAAGTTGGGGAGTGCGCTGCAGTGCAGCACAGATGCGAACTTGAAAAGTTTGAGGGGAGTGGCGTGTGGTGCATGGAGAGAGGATGGAACAAGGACGAAGGAGATGCAGCATTGGTACATGGGGTTCAACACGATGGAGTGCTGTATGATGCTGTGCTGTGCGATGCTGTGCTGTGCGATGCTGTGCTGTGCGATGCTGTGCTGTGCGATGCTGTGCTGTGCGATGCTGTGCTGTGCGATGCTGTGCTGTGTGATGCTGTGCTGTGTGATGCTGTGCTGTGCTTTGCGATGCTGTGCTGTGCGATGCTGTGCTGTGCGATGCTGTGCTGTGCGATGCTGTGCTGTGCGATGCTGTGCTGTGCGATGCTGTGCTGTGTGATGCTGTGCTGTGCGATGCTGTGCTGTGCGATGCTGTGCTGTGCGATGCTGTGCTGTGCGATGCTGTGCTGTGCGATGTTGTGCTGTGCGATGCTGTGCTGTGCGATGCTGTGCTGTGCGATGCTGTGCTGTGCGATGCTGTGCTGTGCGATGCTGTGCTGTGCGATGCTGTGCTGTGCGATGCTGTGCTGTGCGATGCTGTGCGATGCTGTGCTGTGCGATGCTGTGCTGTGCGATGCTGTGCTGTGCGATGCTGTGCTGTGCGATGCTGTGCTGTGCGATGCTGTGCTGTGTGATGCTGTGCTGTGCGATGCTGTGCTGTGCGATGCTGTGCTGTGCGATGCTGTGCTGTGCGATGCTGTGCTGTGCGATGCTGTGCTGTGCGATGCTGTGCTGTGCGATGCTGTGCTGTGCGATGCTGTGCTGTGCGATGCTGTGCTGTGCGATGCTGTGCTGTGCGATGCTGTGCTGTGCCATGCTGTGCTGTGCGATGCTGTGCTGCGCGATGCTATGCTGTGCGATGCTGTGCTGTGCGATGCTTTGCTGTGCGATGCTGTGCTGTGCGATGCTGTGCTGTGCGATGCTGTGCTGTGTGATGCTGTGCTGTGTGATGCTGTGCTGTGCGATGCTGTGCTGTGCGATGCTGTGCTGTGTGATGCTGTGCTGTGCGATGCTGTGCTGTGTGATGCTGTGCTGTGTGATGCTGTGCTGTGTGATGCTGTGTTGTGTGATGCTGTGCTGTGCGATGCTGTGCTGTGTGATGCTGTGCTGTGTGATGCTGTGCTGTGTGATGCTGTGCTGTGTGATGCTGTGCTGTGTGATGCTGTGCTGTGTGATGCTGTGCTGTGTGATGCTGTGCTGTGCGATGCTGTGCTGTGCGATGCTGTGCTGTGCGATGCTGTGCTGTGCGATGCTGTGCTGTGCGATGCTGTGCTGTGTGATGCTGTGCTGTGTGATGCTGTGCTGTGCTGTGTGATGCTGTGCTGTGAGATGCTGTGCTGTGCGATGCTGTGCTGTGTGATGCTGTGCTGTGCTGTGCGATGCTGTGCTGTGCGATGCTGTGCTGTGCGATGCTGTGCTGTGCGATGCTGTGCTGTGCGATGCTGTGCTGTGTGATGCTGTGCTGTGCGATGCTGTGCTGTGCGATGCTGTGCTGTGCGATGCTGTGCTGTGCAATGCTGTGCTGTGCGATGCTGTGCTGTGCAATGCTGTGCTGTGCGATGCTGTGCGATGCTATGCTGTGCGATGCTGTGCTGTGCGATGCTGTGCTGTGCGATGCTGTGCTGTGCGATGCTGTGCTGTGCGATGCTGTGCTGTGTGATGCTGTGCTGTGCGATGCTGTGCTGTGCGATGCTGTGCTGTGCGATGCTGTGCTATGCGATGCTGTGCGGAAATCAAATGGAAGGAAAGAAAGGGAACCACCATGCACGCTCACCATGCGACCTTGCCCATGCAACCAACTGTTCTCATTTGGCTTACCCCGGGAACCAGCTGTTCTCATTTGGCTTACCCCGGGAACCAGCTGTTCTCATTTGGCTTACCCCGGGAACCAGCTGTTCTCATTTGGCTTACCCCGGGAACCAGCTGTCTCATTTGGCTTACCCCGGGAACCAGCTGTTCTCATTTGGCTTACCCCGGGAACCAGCTGTTCTCATTTGGCTTACCCCGGGAACCAGCTGTCTCATTTGGCTTACCCCGGGAACCAGCTGTTCTCATTTGGCTTACCCCGGGAACCAGCTGTTCTCATTTTGCTTACCCCAGGAACCAGCTGTTCTCATTTGGCTTACTCCGGGAACCAGCTGTCTCATTTGGCTTACCCCGGGAACCAGCTGTTCTCATTTGGCTTACCCCGGGAACCAGCTGTTCTCATTTGGCTTACCCCGGGAACCAGCTGTTCTCATTTGACTTACCCCGGGAACCAGCTGTTCTCATTTGGCTTACCCCGGGAACCAGCTGTTCTCATTTGGCTTACCCCGGGAACCAGCTGTTCTCATTTGGCTTACCCCGGGAACCAGCTGTTCTCATTTGGCTTACCCCGGGAACCAGCTGTTCTCATTTGGCTTACCCCGGGAACCAGCTGTTCTCATTTGGCTTACCCCGGGAACCAGCTGTTCTCATTTGGCTTACCCCGGGAACCAGCTGTTCTCATTTGGCTTACCCCGGGAACCAGCTGTTCTCATTTGGCTTACCCTGGGAACCAGCTGTTCTCATTTGGCTTACCCCGGGAACCAGCTGTCTCATTTGGCTTACCCCGGGAACCAGCTGTTCTCATTTGGCTTACCCCGGGAACCAGCTGTTCTCATTTGGCTTACCCCGGGAACCAGCTGTTCTCATTTGGCTTACCCCGGGAACCAGCTGTTCTCATTTGGCTTACCCAACCAGGTGTTCTCATTTGGCTTACCCCGGGAACCAGCTGTTCTCATCTGGCTTACCCCGGGGACCACCTGTTCTCATTTGGCTTACCCCGGGAACCAGCTGTTCTCATTTGGCTTACCCCGGGAACCAGCTGTTCTCATTTGGCTTACCCCGGGAACCAACTGTTCTCATTTGGCTTACCCCGGGAACCAGCTGTTCTCATTTGGCTTACCCCGGGAACCAGCTGTTCTCATTTGGCTTACCCCGGGAACCAGCTGTTCTCATTTGGCTTACGCCGGGAACCAGCTGTTCTCATTTGGCTTACCCCGGGAACCAGGTGTTCTCATTTGGCTTACCCCGGGAACCAGCTGTTCTCATCTGGCTTACCCCGGGGACCACCTGTTCTCATTTGGCTTACCCCGGGAACCAGCTGTTCTCATTTGGCTTACCCCGGGAACCAGCTGTTCTCATTTGGCTTACCCCGGGAACCAGCTGTTCTCGGTCTCCGCGCTGCCCTCCAGTACGAGCCCTCTGGCGCGCGAGAGAGTGAGCGTCTCGTGCACGAAGCCATGCGCGTTCACAAAGGCACTAATGGCGCCCTCCGTGCTCATGCACACCATGTCGCTGCGCCGCGCCACCCGACACTGCCTCTCGCATAGGAGCGGGGGGGAGGGGAGGAGAGGAGGGTGGAAGAAGGAGACGTGTGGGGAGGATGCGGTGGTGGCAGGTCACTGTCACGCGCAGTGCACTGTCACGCGCAGTGCACTGTCACGCGCAGTGCACTGTCACGCGCAGTGCACTGTCACGCGCAGTGCACTGTCACGCGCAGTGCACTGTCACGCGCAGTGCACTGTCACGCGCAGTGCACTGTGCTCGCCATTCGAGAGTGGGGAGGCGTTTCAATGCGCAGACAACGAAGGAAATGGGAAGACGAGGGAGAGAGGAAGTTGAGTTTGAAAGCAGCAAGGCACACCGAAAGCTGCCAAGCATGCTGCTGTGCGTGATGAACTTTTGTGGGATAAGGTGGGCGGCAGACAGTGCTGATGGACGGATGGAGGGGGTTGAGGGAGGGAAAAGAAGAAGAGGGGGAAAGAGGAACAGTGCACGACTATGTGAAAGAGGAACAGTGCACGACTGTGTGAAAGAGGAACAGTGCACGACTGTGTGAAAGAGGAACAGTGCACGACTATGTGAAAGAGGAACAGTGCACGACTATGTGAAAGAGGAACAGTGCACGACTGTGTGAAAGAGGAACAGTGCACGACTGTGTGCAAGAGGAACAGTGCACGACTATGTGAAAGAGGAACAGTGCACGACTATGTGAAAGAGGAACAGTGCACGACTGTGTGAAAGAGGAACAGTGCACGACTGTGTGAAAGAGGAACAGTGCACGACTGTGTGAAAGAGGAACAGTGCACGACTGTGTGAAAGAGGAACAGTGCACGACTGTGTGAAAGATGAACAGTGCACGACTGTGTGAAAGAGGAACAGTGCACGACTGTGTGAAAGAGGAACAGTGCACGACTGTGTGAAAGAGGAACAGTGCACGACTGTGTGAAAGAGGAACAGTGCACGACTGTGTGAAAGAGGAACAGTGCACGACTATGTGAAAGAGGAACAGTGCACGACTATGTGAAAGAGGAACAGTGCACGACTGTGTGAAAGAGGAACAGTGCACGACTGTGTGAAAGAGGAACAGTGCACGACTGTGTGAAAGAGGAACAGTGCACGACTGTGTGAAAGAGGAACAGTGCACGACTGTGTGAAAGAGGAACAGTGCACGACTGTGTGAAAGAGGAACAGTGCACGACTATGTGAAAGAGGAACAGTGCACGACTATGTGAAAGAGGAACAGTGCACGACTATGTGAAAGAGGAACAGTGCACGACTGTGTGAAAGATGAACAGTGCACGACTGTGTGAAAGAGGAACAGTGCACGACTGTGTGAAAGAGGAACAGTGCACGACTATGTGAAAGAGGAACAGTGCACGACTGTGTGAAAGATGAACAGTGCACGACTGTGTGAAAGAGGAACAGTGCACGACTGTGTGAAAGAGGAACAGTGCACAACTATGTGAAAGAGGAACAGTGCACGACTGTGTGAAAGAGGAACAGTGCACGACTATGTGAAAGAGGAACAGTGCACGACTGTGTGAAAGAGGAACAGTGCACGACTGTGTGAAAGAGGAACAGTGCACGACTGTGTGCAAGATGAACAGTGCACGACTGTGTGAAAGAGGAACAGTGCACGACTATGTGAAAGAGGAACAGTGCACGACTATGTGAAAGAGGAACAGTGCACGACTGTGTGAAAGATGAACAGTGCACGACTGTGTGAAAGAGGAACAGTGCACGACTGTGTGAAAGATGAACAGTGCACGACTGTGTGAAAGAGGAACAGAGCACAACTATGTGAAAGAGGAACAGTGCACGACTGTGTGAAAGAGGAACAGTGCACGACTATGTGAAAGAGGAACAGTGCACGACTGTGTGAAAGAGGAACAGTGCACGACTGTGTGAAAGAGGAACAGTGCACGACTGTGTGAAAGAGGAACAGTGCACGACTGTGTGAAAGAGGAACAGTGCACGACCATGCATTCCAAAGACCATGCATTCCAAAGACCATGCATTCCAAGTTATGTACGTACCGTACTTCATCACAACTGGAATGTGTGACGCCTGCAAATACCACACCTGGCATCATAACATCCACCGCTGTTTCCAGACGATAGGCTGCTCAGTTGCTAGAATTGTTTTGGGGTTCAACAATCTGTTCTCAGATTGGCTTAGGTTGCTTCGGTGTAAATTGCTCATGCCCAGCACATCCAAGCTGATGCATGGAAGGCATGTGGAGAAGAGGCGTACCCGGCACGTGGAGCAGAGGCGTACCCGGCAGGTGGAGCAGAGGAGGTGGTCGATGCACTCGAGCAGGTGAATCTGCTTCTGCAGCCGGTACACCGTCGACCCCACCTGCACCCATGCACACCACACCACACTCACGTCACCCACTCCCGCTCAACATGAACGATACGATCGCCAGCATTCAGGTAGCATGAGCATACTTGAGTACCAATCAAGGCAAAATAGCACAAGTGCGTGTGACATTGGTAAGTGACAGAGGGCGGTGAGGAGGGCACACCCGCAGCAGGTGCAGGCGGTGAGGAGGGCACACCTGCAGCAGGTCGTGGCGGTGAGGAGGGCACACCTGCAGCAGGTTGTGGCGGTGGCGGTCGCTGATGGGCATGTTGGCCGCCACCACGAACGACAGCGCCTCCGGCGTCCGCGTGAGGCCCTGCAGCTGCTGCGCCTGCGCTGGTAGCAGCTGCCCACACATGTCTGGCCGGGGGGGGGGGATACAAAGAGCGAGAATAGGATGCAGTTGGGAGGGAGGAGGTAAAGGGCGGGCAGAACATGGCAATGATGACCACAGAAGCTCGTTACACATCAACTACAGCCTCACTTGTACATTTTTAGTTAAATACTCTTGGTGAGATTACCATCAATGGTTGAGATTACCATCAATGGTTGAGATTACCATCAATGGTTGAGATTACCATCAATGGTTGAGATTACCATCAATGGTTGAGATTACCATCAATGGTTGAGATTACCATCAATGGTTGAGATTACCATCAATGGTTGAGATTACCATCAATGGTTGAGATTACCATCAATGGTTGAGATTACCATCAATGGTTGAGATTACCATCAATGGTTGAGATTACCATCAATGGTTGAGATTACCATCAATGGTTGAGATTACCATCAATGGTTGAGATTACCATCAATGGTTGAGATTACCATCAATGGTTGAGCATCACCCAATCCCAACGTCTTCAACCCAATTGGTCCAGACCATCTCTCAAGTACGTACCAGCCTTGACCTCCTCTCACTCATCACTTGACCCAGCCCTAGCTCATTCATATCTCATGTGCTCCAGCCTGGCCTTGTCCGCCTCGTGTCCAGCTTGTGTCACAGAGACGTCCACCCCAACAACAGGAACACCACCAAAGCAACGTGTTCATTTGAAAAGTCAAAAGGGAATCACAACGATCACTCAACCTGGTGTTCACAGTGCGCCTCACCTGCCACGTGCCTCACCTGCCACGCGCCTGGCCAGGTTGAAGGCATCGAACATGCGGTACACCCAGTGGGGCCACGCCGCCCGCGCCGCCCTCCTCCTCCACCGCACCTCCTCCATTGCCCACCGCTCCGCTGCCCCTCCCCACGCCTCCCACCTTGACCTCTTCCTCCTGCTGCTCGCGCTACCGTGATCTCCCCTCCCATCTCCCCCTCTCCCCTCCTCCTCTCCCCTCCCATCTCCCCCTCTCCCCTCCTCCTCTCCCTCATTCCCTCTGCTATCCGCCCTCGCTTCACCCTCCTGCACGCCAAACAGCCCCACGAGTCTGCTCACTCGCACGTCTCCTTGCACTCCTTCCGCGCCCTGCGCGTCCGCGCCCTCCTCTCTCCGCTCATCTCCATCGCCCCCACCACCCCGGGCCTCGCTGCCGTCGCTGTCAGCCCGAGCAGCCCCCCTTCCTCCTCCCCTACTCGCCTCCTCTCCACTGCGCTCCTGCCCCCCTCTCGCCCGCGCCCTCGCTCGTCGTCCCTCTCTCTGCCTCAGGGGCGCCACCCATCGCTGCCACCACCGCCTCCCTCCCCTGCGCACCTCCCTAACCTGCCCCTCCCTTTCCCCATCGTTTCCTTGCGACTCCTCCTCATCCTCCTCATCCTCCTCGTCCTCCTCGTCTTCTTCCTCTTGACCCTCGTCTTCCTCCTCTTCCTTCTCCTCTCCTTCTTCTTCCTCCTCCTCTCCTTCTTCCTCCTCCTCCTCCTCATCCATCCTCCCTCCCTCCTCGCCCTCCATATGGTCACCTTGCTCTATAAGCCTCCTCACCAGCTCCCTCCTCCTCTCCTCCCGTCGCCTCACTCTGTCCTCCTCACTCCCTCTCCTTCCAATCCCTCCACGTCCTCCCCTGATCCGCGCTCCTCTCCCCCCACGCCCATCATCCCCTGCAGCAGCCCCTGTGCGGTGCCCATGCGGCGCGCCCCTGTCCGCCATCCCCACGGCCCTGCCCTGCTCACCGCCCTCACCGCCCTCACCGCCCTGCTCTGCACCCCTCGCCCCCTCTCTCCCCCTGCCGCCCACCGCCTCTTGCATGCAGCTGGAGGATGCCGCCCGCATGCCACGGCAGCGGGAGAAGGCGCCAGGTGGCAGGCGCAGCGGGGTGGCGTCCTCGAGAATCTGCACCTCTGCGGCCGGCTGCACGGGGTGATGGGGGGCGCGCAGGGGCGCAGGTGGGGCAGGCAGTGGGAGCAGGGCGGCTTGGGGAACACAAACTGCCTTGTCAAGCGCTTGACACACGGGAGGGGAGGGTTGGGAAGGAATGGGAATAAGCCAAGGGAGATTTTTATAGAGTGTGTCAGGAGAGGGGGAGAGAAAGGGCAGATGGTGGGGGGCCGGTGAGAATGATGATGAACAAGGAGCATAAGCAACAAGGCAGTGAGGAACAACAGAAGGTGTGGAAGGGCCTGAATAAAGACAGAGAGAGCAATAGCTATAGGGAAACGGGAGTGAATAGGCAAGGGTGGACGGTGGTGTGCACTTGAGTGCAGCAGCAGTTGGTATTATGAGCCTCGTCCACACCGATGGATCACGGCACACACACTGGCGCAGAGAATGCACTAAGGAAGCACAGAGAGGAGGGGCAGGGCAGCAGAGGCAGGGTTGGGGGGGCGCACGGAGCCGTCGGGGTCCATCCAGGCGCGGCGCACGAGGAAGCGCTGGCGGCCCCTCGTGACCACACTCATGCTGCCGTCCTCCTGCTGCCTCACCCGCCGGATCTGAGCAATGGGGGCCACAGGGGCGACAAGGCAGTGGACAGGACTCAGAGGTGCATGGTGAATGCACATGCATGGTGAATGCACATGCATGGTGAATGCACATGCATGGTGAATGCACATGCATGTCGCACCTCTGCTGTTGTGCCCACCGATGCCACTCGGATGTCAAACCCATGCGGATCCATGTGCACGTGCACCTGCTTGCACACATGCACACATGCAACCATGCACACATACATGCACACATTCAACCATGCACACATGCAGCCATGCACACATGCATGCACACCCACACACACACACACCACGCCACCCCCCCCTCCCCCCCCCCCCCCCACACACACACGTGCAAACATACACATTCACACGCCCGTACACACATGAACATACACATGAAAGAAAGATAAATCCGTCCACTCATCCTTAACGTATGAAGGCGCGCAGCATGCAGCAACGGCAGTACTTGACAATAATCAGCTCCACATTGCCTTTCGTCCCAACGTCACCCAAATGTATTCACTCAGTATCTCCATCCCCCAATATCTCCACCCCCACCATGTGCCGCCCCACCATGTGCCGCCCCACCATGTGCCGCCCCACCATGTGCCGCCCCACCATGTGCCGGCCCGCCCCTCACCACGCCCAGCAGGTGGGCGGCCTGCCCAGTGGCCCCCATGGCGCGGGTCACGGCGGCTCTGAATCGCGCCTGCTGCACGCGCAGCGGCAGCGTCTGCTCGGGGAAGAGCACGATGCCTGGTGGGTGGTGGAGGCGGGCGAAGCATTTGGGAAGGAGAGCATGCAAGAGACGCGGGTGTGCATGGCGGTTGCATGCTGCACTCAGCCCATGGGCGGCACAAACGGCATGGGCAGCACACGCAGAGAACAGTGAAGGACACACAGGGCAGCATGGTGCAGAGTGATAACAGCACGGTGCAGAGTGATGGTAAGTGATGCTGACATGACAGACCGGCTCCACTCAGGTACGGGCACGCAGGAACGGGCACGCAGGTGGAGAAAGTGGAGAGGAGGGAGGGTAAGGTTAGGCATGGGAGGGTAGGGAAGGGTACGGGAGGGTAGGGAAGGGCACGGGAGGGTAGGGAAGGGCACGGGAGGGTAGGGAAGGGCACGGGAGGGTAGGGAAGGGCACGGGAGGGTAGGGAAGGGCACGGGAGGGTAGGGAAGGGCACGGGAGGGTAGGGAAGGGCACGGGAGGGTAGGGAAGGGCACGGGAGGGTAGGGAAGGGCACGGGAGGGTAGGGAAGGGCACGGGAGGGTAGGGAAGGGCACGGGAGGGTAGGGAAGGGCACGGGAGGGTAGGGAAGGGCACGGGAGGGTAGGGAAGGGCACGGGAGGGTAGGGAAGGGCACGGGAGGGTAGGGAAGGGCACGGGAGGGTAGGGAAGGGCACGGGAGGGTAGGGAAGGGCACGGGAGGGTAGGGAAGGGCACGGGAGGGTAGGGAAGGGAGGGCTGAATGGCAATGGGAGAACCTTGGAGGCATACCTTGGAGGCATACCTTGGAGGCATACCTTGGAGGTAGAACATGGGCAGGCGAAGAATGGTGCCTCCCTCAGCAAACGCCTGTGCTCCCGTGATGTCGTCCCCCTCTGCCCACAGGGCACGGGGTGAGCAGTGCATGGGGTGAGCAGTGGATGGGGTGAGCAGTGCATGGGGTGAGCAGTGCATGGGGTAAGATGAATGAAGGGCACGCGAGGGCTGTAGCCCAGCGGTGGTGCATGCATGCATGCAGTGAGCAGCGGTGATGACAATGTAATGACATGAACTCAAGTAACTGATTATGACACCATGCACCATACATGCACCACCATGCACCATACATGCACCACCATGCACCATACATGCACCACCATGCACCATACATGCACCACCATGCACCACCATGCACCATACATGCACCACCATGCACCACCATGCACCATACATGCACCACCATGCACCATACATGCACCACCATGCACCATACATGCACCACCATGCACCATACATGCACCACCATGCACCATGCACCATACATGCACCACCATGCACCATGCACCATACATGCACCACCATGCACCATGCACCATACATGCACCACCATGCACCATGCGCCATACATGCACCACCATGCACCATGCACCATACATGCACCACCATGCACCATGCACCATACATGCACCACCATGCACCATGCACCATACATGCACCACCATGCACCATGCACCATACATGCACCACCATGCACCATGCACCATGCACAATGCGCCATGTGCGTTGCACCATGCAGCATGGCCGTACCTCCAAGGTATGTGTGCAGCGATGTGATGGCCGGATCAAATGTGAGTCCTCCTCGCATCCTCAATGTCAACACGTCTCCGTCGCCCCTGCATGCGTGGATGATCCACGGATGAGATCATATTAAATCTGACAGTGGGATGGGACAGTGCTGACAGTGGGATGGGACAGAGCTGACAGTGGGATGGGACAGTGCTGACAGTGGGATGGGACAGAGCTGACAGTGGGATGGGACAGAGCTGACAGTGGGATGGGACAGTGCTGACAGTGGGATGGGACAGAGCTGACAGTGGGATGGGACAGTGCTGACAGTGGGATGGGACAGAGCTGACAGTGGGATGGGACAGTGCTGACAGTGGGATGGGACAGAGCTGACAGTGGGATGGGACAGAGCTGACAGTGGGATGGGACAGTGCTGACAGTGGGATGGGACAGAGCTGACAGTGGGATGGGACAGTGCTGACAGTGGGATGGGACAGAGCTGACAGTGGGATGGGACAGTGCTGACAGTGGGATGGGACAGAGCTGACAGTGGGATGGGACAGAGCTGACAGTGGGATGGGACAGTGCTGACAGTGGGATGGGACAGTGCTGACAGTGGGATGGGACAGTGCTGACAGTGGGATGGGACAGAGCTGACAGTGGGATGGGACAGTGCTGACAGTGGGATGGGACAGTGCTGACAGTGGGATGGGACAGTGCTGACAGTGGGATGGGACAGAGCTGACAGTGGGATGGGACAGTGCTGACAGTGGGATGGGACAGTGCTGACAGTGGGATGGGACAGAGCTGACAGTGGGATGGGACAGTGCTGACAGTGGGATGGGACAGAGCTGACAGTGGGATGGGACAGTGCTGACAGTGGGATGGGACAGAGCTGACAGTGGGATGGGACAGTGCTGACAGTGGGATGGGACAGAGCTGACAGTGGGATGGGACAGTGCTGACAGTGGGATGGGACAGAGCTGACAGTGGGATGGGACAGTGCTGACAGTGGGATGGGACAGAGCTGACAGTGGGATGGGACAGTGCTGACAGTGGGATGGGACAGTGCTGACAGTGGGATGGGACAGAGCTGACAGTGGGATGGGACAGTGCTGACAGTGGGATGGGACAGTGCTGACAGTGGGATGGGACAGTGCTGACAGTGGGATGGGACAGAGCTGACAGTGGGATGGGACAGTGCTGACAGTGGGATGGGACAGTGCTGACAGTGGGATGGGACAGAGCTGACAGTGGGATGGGACAGTGCTGACAGTGGGATGGGACAGAGCTGACAGTGGGATGGGACAGTGCTGACAGTGGGATGGGACAGAGCTGACAGTGGGATGGGACAGTGCTGACAGTGGGATGGGACAGAGCTGACAGTGGGATGGGACAGTGCTGACAGTGGGATGGGACAGAGCTGACAGTGGGATGGGACAGTGCTGACAGTGGGATGGGACAGAGCTGACAGTGGGATGGGACAGTGCTGACAGTGGGATGGGACAGTGCTGACAGTGGGATGGGACAGTGCTGACAGTGGGATGGGACAGTGCTGACAGTGGGATGGGACAGTGCTGACAGTGGGATGGGACAGAGCTGACAGTGGGATGGGACAGTGCTGACAGTGGGATGGGACAGAGCTGACAGTGGGATGGGACAGTGCTGACAGTGGGATGGGACAGTGCTGACAGTGGGATGGGACAGTGCTGACAGTGGGATGGGACAGTGCTGACAGTGGGATGGGACAGTGCTGACAGTGGGATGGGACAGTGCTGACAGTGGGATGGGACAGTGCTGACAGTGGGATGGGACAGTGCTGTAGCAATTATGGCATTCTAAATCTTGCGCATCTCGTACCCAGAAAAGGGGCTATCTTTGCATGAGGACGCTGCTCCCATGGCGCCACATGCACATGTGCGGCGCCACATGCACATGTGCGGCGCCACATGCACATGTGCGGCGCCACATGCACATGTGCGGCGCCACATGCACATGTGCGGCGCCACATGCACATGTGTGGCGCCCAAGGCACGTGAGATGTGGCACCTGAGGCACGTGGCACCTGAGGCACGTGGCACCTGGGGTCATCGCTGTCGCTGGAGCTCAGCACATGCTGCCTCGCCTCGCCCCCTGCTGCCCGGCCCCTCTCCTCCTCCTCCCCCTCTTCGTCCTCCTCGCCCATGTCCTCCTCCTCCAGCTCCTCCCCCTGGATCGCCAGGATGCGCTCAATCTGCTGCCGCTCCACCGCACTCACCACCACCGCCACCGCACCCCCCCCGCCACCTGCTCCTCCTCCTCCACCGTCGCCATCACCCCTTCCAACACCTCCACCGCCCGCTGCACCGCCCCGCACACCTGCCTCATCCCCTTGCTGTGACGCCTGCAGCAGGTGCTGCTGTGCTCCCCCCTCCCCCCTCTCTCCACCCCTGCCTTCACCTGCCTGCACGCCCCCATGTGCGCCCCTGCTGCTGCCGCGCCCACTGCCCCGCCATGACGCTCGCCTTCGCCGCTCACTTGCACTCCTCCCCGCCCCTCCCGCCTCCCCCTCGTCCCCTTCCTCCTCCTCCTCCTCCAGCTCCTCCCCCTCCACTGCGCGTATCTGCTGCACCTGAGCTCTCTCTGCCGCCCCCACCTCGCCTCCCCTCACCTGCACGCCTCCCCTCACCTGCACGCCTCCCCTCGCCGCCCCCTCCCGCGCGCCTCTCCCCATCCCCCTCGCCTCCTCTCTCTGGCCTGCGCCGCCCCTCCCACGCACCACAACCTCCACTTCCTCTCTCATTCGCTCCCCTTCCCCCTCCTCTCCTCGCACCACTTGCCGCCTCTGTCTCTGCTGCTGCCGCCTCACCCCTGCTGTGCCGCGTCCCCCCTGCCTCTCTCCTTCGCCCATGCCTCTCTGCACCGCGCCACTGCCCTGCCCCACCTCATTGCACCGCACACAGTCAGCCCTGCGCCCTGCTCCCTCCTCGCCGCCCCTCGCCTCCACCTCTCCATCGTCGCTTCCCTCCCCCATCTGCTCCTCTTCCTCTCCTTCCTCTCCCTCTTCTCCCCCCTCTCCCTCCTCACAACTGCCTGCTACCTCGCCTTCCTCTCCCGCCACCTCGCCCTCCTCTCCCACATCTTCCCCCCCCTCCTCCTCGCCCTCCTGCTCCTCTCCAGGCTCCACGTCATCACCATGCCTGCTGCTACCTGGCCCCAGCCCTCCCTCCTCCTCCACGCCATGCTTCCCTCCGTCGCTCCTTTCACCACATAACGCCTTCTCCGAGCATACCTCAGCCGAATCTCCCCCTGTCGCCCTCCTCCCCTCCGCGTCCTTCTCGCCCTCCCCTTCCACCCCCTCCACCGCCTCCCCTCCCCTTGTCTCCCCACTTGCCCACTCCGCGCTCGCCGCTGCACGCCTCTCGCTCGCCTTGCCCTCCGCGCTCCCCGCGCGCGCGCCCACCGCCAAGCCGCCCCCCAGTGCGCCTCTCGACCTGTGCCACCCTCGGCCCCTTCCCCTCCCTCCCTCCTCCTCCTCCCCCTCGTCCTCCCCCTCCTCCTCCAGCGCCATATCATCCAATTCCCTCAGTTGCGCCAACTGCCGTCGCTCCGCCATCTCCGCCAACTGCGCGGGCGTCAAGTCCGCATCGCGCGCAGCCCCGTCGCCGCGGCTAACGGTTTCATCGAAACCGCCGCCACCGCTGCTGGTGGCGACGTTGGGACGCGCAGCGCGACTAGGCGACCTGCTGGCGGCGTGAGGCGACCTGCGGCGCGGCTGTGGGTCCATGCGGGTGTGCGGCTGGCGGCGAGGGAGCCGAGGGAACCCCTGCACGCTCGAGATCCGGTTCGGACAGGGGAACTAGTACGCCCGCACGCATGCACTCCTGCGCTGCACTGGCAACCCGTCACGTCCTCGCCCGCACTTGCTTGCTATAGTGCTAACCGCCACGCGCACATTCTCTCCGCCGTTTTCAACGCGGGTGTCCTGTTAGATTCTTGTGTGAGGCACACAGTAGGGTCAGCTCCTTCAAGCTCATGCATGGTTTGGTCTGGAGTGTACTGGTAGATTTCCGAACACCCTATTGAACTTTGAAGCCCACACCACAACGCGGACATTGTTCAGGCGGATTCGCGCTCACGCACAACACCCGAGTTTCGAGTGCCTGCTACCACATGCACCCGAACTTCTGACGAGCTAGTCTGCGATGTACCTGTAACCAGATAAAAGCAGTTACGCCGCCTTCAAGGTGGGGCATACATCTCCAGACGGGCTGGGGACTTTCGGCTCATTCTGGAACTATATCGCGTGTGCGAAGATCAACGACTAGACAATTGTTGGCGAAAGATAGTGTCCAGGGATGGCAGGACAGGAAAGAGCAAATCTGCATGCACCGCTGCATGGAGCGTGATTGAACGCGTGTCTCTGTCATACTGGAAGATAAGGGTGCGTCAGATCCGTTGTCGGAAAATCCGGCCGGCCGGAATTAGCGAAGGTAACACATTCGCGACATCCGCGAAGATTTTCGAAGAGTTCGTCAAATCCGGCCATTTGTAAAAAAAAATGATGGCCGGTTCAGCATTCGACAAAGTTCCGACGTGCAGTCGACTCGAAAGTCGACCAATCTGTCGACCTGAGATCGCTACAGTCACTACGCGACGTCGCCAACTCGTGCGACGCAACGTGTCACACAAGTACTGCATCTGCGATTCCGTCGCACAATCCGGCGACCCTGGCGAACTGCAAATCTGAAACATTTGCATAGCGGCCATCAAATCGGCCACCAAATGTGTCAGATTTTTCGGCCCTGTAAATGAGGCCGGATATTGGTCGTTATTGAAGTCGACCATGTTGTCGACTTTGGCGAAAGATATTGTCGACCAAACTGTCGACCAAATCACCTTGTAACGGATCTGACGCGCCCTAACATACCCTCTTTCTACTTCTCTCCTTCCCGCGCGTTTCGCAGTCGCCACGATCGCGCTGCCTGTCTCGGTTCTATCGCCCCAACCGTCACTCATGCTCGGGAGCAGCGCTCTCTAATACGAACGTATACACAAGCTAGTCAGTGTAATCGCGAAGGTGAGTGAAGCTACCTCGCCATCTAGTCTACGTTTGCGTCCTTCGAGAAATCAAATGCATATCGTCCCGTCGCCCCTTCCCGAGCACCACGATTCACGAAGCAGATCGACCTGTCCGCCGCACGTCGCTGCCTGACCTGTCGCTGGGCTGTGTGTTCCGTGTGGACTCGTACGGCAGCGCCATCTCACCCCAGCCTTTCTCGCCCGTGCGCGCGGTGCAGCGCGCGGTGCAGCGTGCGGTGCGGTGCGGGAGGCGGTGCCTCGGACGGCCATGAATTCGGTGAGTCGCCTCGAAGCGGCCTGCGGTGTCGAATCGCGTTCTTGTTTTGCTTGTTCAATTTGCGCTGCTCCAGCTGTCTACCCGTCTCTCTTACGTTTACTCTGGCTCACGTATGGCTGATATTATTTTGCTTGATTGGCGGTGCCACGTGTGCGTCCATGAGTGGCTGCCTGGCAGATTATCGTGGACCGCGAGGACGCGCAGCGGCAGTACCTGGAGCAGCGGGTGAGATGCGCGCGGTGGTTGGGGGGAAAGTGAAATGGAGGGTTGGAGGAGAAAAGTGTTGGGTTAAACAGCCTATCCGATTCGCGCTTCTCCATCACTGCTTCTGCTCCGTGCCCCGCTTCTCCCTGCGCACAACCCCATGCACTCGCATCACCCCATGCACTCACATCACCCCATGCACTCACATCACCCCATGCACTCACATCACCCTGTGCACTTACTTACATCACCCCATGCACTTACTTACATCACCCCATGCACTTACTTGCATCACCCCGTGCACTTACTTACATCATCCCATGCACTTACTTACATCACCCCATGCACTTACTTACATCACCCCATGCACTTACTTACATCACCCCATGCACTTACTTACATCATCCCATGCACTTACTTGCATCACCCCGTGCACTTACTTACATCATCCCATGCACTTACTTGCATCACCCCATGCACTTACTTACATCACCCCATGCACTTACTTACATCACCCCATGCACTTACTTACTTACATCACCCCATGCACTTACTTACTTACTTACATCACCCCATGCACTTACTTACATCACCCCATGCCTCCGCTTCTTCCCGTCCACTCTCATGCCACCACCTCATACGTTTTCTCCCCTCTCCACTCCACTCTCTTTCTCCTCCCTCCCTTTCTCCCCAGCCCTCTTCCCCCATGTGTTATGAGGGTGCGGTGGGCAGTGCTGCACAGACGGGGGCACGTCTGTACAAGTCTCAAAGCTCTCTCCTTCCTCCCTGCCGCCCCTCCCCGTGCGTCCACCCCCGGTGCTCCCGTGCGCGTGGGCGCGGGGGCAGGTGGTGCAGGCGGCGGTGGCGGAGGTGTACAGTGAGGAGAGCGCGGAGGGCGCCCATGCCCCGCACGCGCACAACGCGGTGAGGGATGAGAGGAAGAGGGCAGACCGTGGTGAGTGGGGGAGAGAATGAGTTGAAGAGAATTCGTTGGAGGTGGGGATGAGTGAGGGTACATATGGGATAGGGCGTGGTTATTGGTGCATGGGGGGACGCGCTCGAAGGTGGCAGCGGAAATGATTTTATTTCTCGGTTCCCGATGCGCTGTGTCCCGATGCGCTGTGTCCCGATGCGCTGTGTCCCGATGCGCTGTGTCCCGATGCGCTGTGTCCCGATGCGCTGTGTCCCGATGCGCTGTGTCCCGATGCGCTGTGTCCCTTGATCCACTGCACCGACTTTCTTACAGTACGTTCCCCTTCATTGCCCTCGTGTGTGCTGCCCCGTGCTCCCCCTGCAGGTACTGGCATACCTGAGCAGCACGCTCGACCCCACGCTCGCCGTGCCCCCCGCCTCGCCCACCACGCCCCTCGCTGCACCCGCGCGCGGCGCCCCCTCACACCCGCTCTCGCACGCCCAGCCAGCAGGGCTGGCAGGGCGGTTGGAGCAATCGCGGCAGCACCTGCTGGGAGTGGAGCCGGGGTGCCTGCAGCGTTTTGCTGCCACGGCTGCTGCGGTGAGTCACATGCCATGGCGGTGGGCAGGCAGTGCATGGTAGAGCAGGTCAGCCGCTGGGCCTGGCAAGGCCGTGGGGGTGCCGAGCCGAGAGGGCCGTGGCGCTACAGCTGTGGTGAAGGCGAAGAGTGATTCAGGCGGGGCGTGTAGCGAATTAGGGGGGGGGGGAAGTGCAACGGATGTAGCGTGTGATGTGCAGCACTGGAGGCCTCTCCGCCATCATCACATGCTGCTGTTGTGTGCTTGTGTGCTACGGCACTGTGCGCTCAGCAGTGGTGCCACGTGTGTGTGGCTGCGTGGCAGAACAAGGCGTGCCAGACGAGGCTGCAGCAGCGCGTCATCGATGCAGTGGCGTCGTCTGCAGCCAACATCAGGACCTTCATTCAGTGTGCGTTGTGACTGTATATCAATGTGCTGTGTTCATTGTGATGCGACTGTATCAAGTGTGATGTGACTGTGTTGAGTGTGTTGTGATTTTATTTGGTGAGTATACGAGTACGACAGGCATCAACGTGTACCACTACCGACAGCCTCACCTGTGATTCAATACCTGGTCTGGAAATTCTAGTGGAGCAGCCTCTGAAATGGGAATATGTGTTGCGTGCAACAAGCATCATGTGAGCCCTAACCCTGTCAACACATGCATCACAACCAACCCACTGCCCTGGTTGCGTCTCTCTGGCCTCTGCGTGCATCCTCCCCTCCTCCCCTCCTCCCCTCCTCCCCTCCTCCCCTCTGCCTCCGTGTGCCCTCTGCCTCCGTGTGCCCTCTGCCTCCCTGCAGTGAGCCTCGGGGACGATGCCTCCAACACTGACACTGACGCTGTCACGCGGTGAGCTGTCATGCGGTGAGCTGTCACGCGGTGAGCAGTCATGCGGTGAGCTGTCACGCGGTGAGCTGTCACGCGGTGAGCTGTCATGCACGGATAAAACTGGTCATGGCCGCAGTCGCTTGCTACTTGGCCTGCTTCTATTGAAAGAATTTTGTTGTAGTTCCTTAAATGCACTCATAAAGGCTTTAATGATTTGAACTCGGCAGGCCGAAACTTGAATGATCTGGTACGATGTTCCTTCAGGTGACCCCTCTTTTAGTCTTGTCAATGTTATGTTTTTTCCACAAGAATGTCTACATGTCTGTTGCTTGAAGCTGCTTCGAGCGTTTTCCAAGGTCCAGCTTTGCGAGTGAAGAGCCATGTTCCTGCCTGCCTGCCTGCCTGCCTTCCCTCCCACCCGCTCGCCCGACCACCCACTCCCCCGCATGTGGCAGAGTGCGGGAGGAGGTGCGGAGGGTGCGGGAGAGGGAGGCTGCCATCACGCGCCTGCTGCTGGCCACAGTCTACACACGAGCCACCCTGGCGCAGGTGGGCAGGGAAGGAGCATGCAGCGCGGCCTGTTTCTCTCACCTACCACTTACAGCCCTCCGTCATTGCCTTCTTCTTTTCCTGAACCGTTTCTCTCGGCCTGCCATCCTCCTTCCCTATCTGTTCCCCCGCGGTCTCGTCTTTGGGGTTGCCGCTCAGGAGCACGTGAGGGTGACAAACGACCTTCTTGCCGTGCTGCAGCTCAAGACACTCCAGCAGCACCCGCTGGTAACCACTCCTTTTTGCTCACTGCAACTACAGCACACCGCACCGAACCCTCTGGTACCAGTTAACTGCTGTGGCTGGGGTACCAGCACTCACTGCATTCACCCCTATGCAACACACTGGCGACGAGTCTGTTCCGATGCTTTTGACACTTGCACATGCACGTGCTTGCACGGATGCAGTTGTACAAAGTAGAAGAAGAAACACCACTTCCTTGCCTTTCCCTTTTCACCTGCAACTCCAACCCTACCTGCCGCCATGCAACTCCAACCCTACCTGCCGCCATGCCGCATGCCTCCTGCCCGCACCAGCCCTTCCCCGCCTCGCCCATTTGCTGGCCTTGCCAGTGGGCCTTTTAGGCTTTACGGCCTGTCCTGCCCAACCTCCCAGTCCTTGCCACCCCTCCCCCCACACACGTTCTGCGTCCCGTCTGGGTGGTGCACGGTGCACGGTGCATGGTGCACGGTGCATGGTGCATGGTGCATGGTGCATGGTGCATGGTGCATGGTGCATGGTGCATGGTGCATGGTGCATGGCGCGTGGTGCATGGCGCATGGCAGGATGGGAGGCAGTGTAAGCTGCTGGAGGCAAGCGCTGCCCTGCTGCAGTGCAAGGAAGAGTGAGTGAGGGCGAGGGGGGGTGTGAGAGGGGGAGAGTGGTGGAGGGGAGAGTAAGAGGGAGGGGCTAAGAGGTAAATTTTTGTTTAGCATTCAGAAGGTCTGTAGTTCAGAATATCAATTTAGAGAAGGATGGGAAGGACCCCTGTTGAACCAGCTCAAGCAGGCATGGCAGCAGGATCAGCCTGGTGGTGGAGCTGTATGTGTTGAGCATACGAGGTGGTTGGGCCCACCCACATAGCGTTCTTGACAACCCCTCACATGTGGTCATGATGCTGTGACATGTAGCCATGCCATGCCATGCCACCCTCTTTCACACTTGCGTTTTCCCCACGCCTGGTCTCCCATGCTGCATGCTGTGCGATGCAGTGCGGTGGAGCAGCAGATCCGAGCGGCCACGTACACGAGAGACACCGTGCTGGCACTGCAGCACACCAGGTGAGCCCAGTGCAGCACACCAGGTGAGCCCAGCGCCGCTGCACCCCACCTGCTTGCCCAGTGGACCTCTCGCACAGAGCTGTACCCTGCTTCTTCCAACAGTACCATTCATTACCTCTTGCACCTCCTCTTGCTGAGGCACTGCCATCCCCCATCCGCATTGTCTCTCTCTCACAATCGCACTATGCCCTTGCCGGCCCCCTTCTCTTCCTGTATTTCGTCCCTACCTCCCACCACCTCTCCCCCTCTTTCTCATTTTTCGTTCTCCTAAAAGCCCTACTTTGAAATCCCCGTTTTTCATCTGTCTGTCCACGATATTCTCTCTTCTCCTGCAGGAAGCACCTGTTGGCACGCAAGGCTGAAGTCAGCTTGGCACGAGATCAAGCAGTCAGTTCTAAGTCTTTGCTCCTGCCCTGCTACACTACTTTCTTACATATTCTATCATGTCACTCCACTGCAATGCACTCGCCATCCCGCTTCCCTCCTCCGGTTTTCCTCTCCTCTCTGCTCATTCCAATTGTACCCCCCCTTCCTTTCTACATCTGCCCCTTCCCCGTCTACTCCCCCACCCTCTGCCCCTTTTCCCTCTGCTTCTTCCCCCTCTGCCCCTTCTCTCTCTGCCCCTTCCCCCTCTGCCCCTTCCCATCTGCCCCTTCTCCTCTGCCCCTTCCCTCCTCTGCCCCTTCCCTCCTCTGCCCCTCCCCATCTGCCAGCGGGTGCGCCTGGAGCAGCTCACCTCCAACCCCGAAATCCTTGCTGTTGCACGTGAATACAATCGAACCAAGGAGGTACGGCCGCGAATACAACCGAACCAAGGAGGTATGTCCGCGAATACAACCGAACCAAGGAGGTATGTCCGCGAATACAACCGAACCAAGTAGGTATGGCCGTGCACAGAACCGAACCGAGGTACAGGTGTGATGATGCAGTAGAAGGAGTTATGGACTTGTGAAGGAAGATTAAGGGCTTGTGGGTACGGTGATGCAAGGCGCTATGCATGCGTGACGACATGCAGCTTGGCAGGTATGGCATGCACTCTTCTTGAGGGAGCATGAAACCCGAATGGAAGGCAAGTGGAGCGATTTGAATGAAAGCAGGTGGGAGTGGTTGTGATGTTGCGCCCTTTGGATGTCCTGTTTGTGCTGCAGCTGGTACATGTGGTCACCCAAGATTAATAATCATGAGAACGGCTGACATCAGCCATGCACATGTATGACATGTGTTTTCACATGCATGCGAGATATGTGCTGCAAGCCATCTGCATGTGAGACATGTGCTGCAAGCCATCTGCATGTGAGACATGTGCTGCAAGCCATCTGCATGTTGGCAACGCCATATGTATTTACAAGTGCCACGACTGTAGGTGCATTCAACCAGGGCCCAAAATTGGTTTTGGCCCACCCTGTCAAATCAGAGTTCCAGGGTGGGCCAACCCTGACTCCTAGGGTAAACAATCTCGTACCCTGATAGAAACAGGGTAAAAGAAAACTTATCCTGATTACATTGCCAATAAATTATAAAAACACTGGACGGTTGCGAGCTGAAGTGTTTCACAGGGTTAGGGGGTATCCAGCTCGTACATTTACTGTTCGTAAAGCCCTACAGTTACCACATTTTGCGTTGTAACACTGAATTTTACAAAAATTCCGGACGCGTGTGGCTCCCGTTCACGTTACGGCACACCCCCTGCACGTACCTCGAATCGTGTGACGCACGTAACTGGAATCAGCGTGCGCATCGAGCCTAGGTACAGCACCGCGTCCTGCCCTCACGATTTCGCCAGTCCCGCCTGACGCTCGCCAAAACCACCTGCGCTCTGGCCTTCGACATTGCATGACATCTCAAATTTAGAAGCGCACCATAAATCCAGATTCGCCAACACAGCATAAAACCAACTCGTCAAGCATGTTGCCCACATTCAGCGCAAATCTTGCAATCGCCATGTGCGGGCTTGCGGGCTGGAATGCCCTCCTCCAATTTTGATTGTTTGATTGGTGCGTATGGGAGGGCTGGAATGCCCTCCAGGTGTTTTTTGTGCGTGCGGTTCGTTCAGCAGAGGAGCTGTTGACTTCGCGAATTTTGTGCGTATGGGAGGGCTGGAATGCCCTCCAGGTGTTTTTTGTGTGTGCGGTTCGTTCAGCAGAGGAGGTGTTGACTGGGCGAAATTTGGTTGACGAGGGAACAGGTTACCTCGGTTTCCACCCAGCCGTGACACTGTTGAACTCTTTGTGGGGGGAATGTGTCCGCGCACTAGAATTGACAGAAAGGGTAGACTCGAAACAGGGCGCATTTGTTTTTAGGTACACTGATCAGTTTTGAACCACGGATCGTGAGGGGGTACTAAATTTCCCGAAATGAACGAGCTGGACACCCCCTTAGAGGTAATGCTGCGATTGGAAAGGACCTGAGTTCGATGCTCGTAACGGGAATTTTACCTAATGCAACACTCGCTGGCGCCGTTTTGCGCAACATCCACCGTATCCTCGCTACGAAAGACTCGGTATCAGTGTAGCAGGTTCAAAACACTGATGAAAGTCAGGGGAAACAATCTATAACTCGGATTTCATAAGGGTACAAAAAATCAAACTCTTTATGAGTCAGGGTAAGAAATCCGGGAGGCTGACTGGGTCAGGGTAACCCCAAAAAAAGCGGCCGCCAGTCAGGGCAATCAGGGTATTTTACCCTGACATTTTGGGGCCTGCATTCAACCAATTGCACTATCCTACACCTCACATGTTTTTTCGCACCTGCGTGTGGCACCAACATCACACCCCCCCCCTCTGTTGCAGGAAATTGAGCGGCTCTCCGGCGCATTCTCTCGGCTGAAGCACCATGAGAGCGCATCAGCACACCAATCCTCGCATGCCGCCCGCATGCACTCTGACTTCTGACTCGCCTCCTGCAACACTGTCCTGTCAAGCCTCTGTTGCAGTTAGAAGCTTAGTAGCCTCCCTCAGTGGCCTCTCTGATACCGTACTCTAATTTTCCAGTCAGATGTAGTGCATTGCTGTGGTGTGGTTTTTCTTCCAAAGAGGCAAAACCAATCTAAGTCATTTGATATATGGAGAATCATTGTGTGCAGTCCAATGATGCAGTGCAGTTTTTAGCGAAGTCATCGCTCGATGGTAAGGCGGAAGCGCATGTCAGAAATGTTCGAAATCATGCCTTAGCAAACCACCTTGAAAACTAGCGAGGGTGACGGATCCGAGTGGACACCAACCAGAGGGGGAATATGCGAACTCACCTAGTGACATTTGTGAACGTTTGCTACAGAGGGAAGTGCAAGAACCGTTGTGCACCGTCTGGAATCATCTTGCGCCACGACGGATGAACTGAAAATGAACGTACTGAACGTGACGGAGAACTGATGTGCACCGTCTGGAATCGTCTTGCGTCAATTGATTGCCCCTGATTGCCTGAAATTGACCTCTAATAATTGCTCGAGTGGCCACGCCATAGGATTCCCTCTGGTTTGTTTTTACCTGGCACATTACCCTACAAGGGTTTGTATCCCCAAATGTCAAATTATATATGTGTTACATATGTGTAGGCTGTATTGGGGTAGCTAATATGGGGTATAGCCCCTTTAGGGTTTTCATACTTGTACCAAACTTTGACCTAGTTCATCCATTCCTGCTAGTTGTTTCTGACATGGTATTCAGACCAGTAGGTCCGTAGGACCGATTTTTTTTAGGGCCCACCTACCGTTGCGGTTACTGAGCTACCCCACGTCTGCGCTGCGCCGCCCGTGTGAAAGTTTAAAAGGAAGAAGAGGTTGCACTAACAAGAATGAGGATACAAATAGCAAACCCTAGAAGGGTTGTACTCGCTATAGAGCACCCCACTACAGGCTAGAGCATAATATTCTGACACACCCCCATAGCCAAAGTGGGGTGTAATCAGCAGAGCAAGCAAAGCAGTACAAGCTCAGGGTGGATCACAATGTCACCACACATTCTGAGCACAAGTTCAAGAAGCAATAGTTTAAAGTTCACAACTATGAGCAAAGCTAGTGGTAGTCACAACGGGCAAGTGAGGAGGAGGAAAGAGACTATGAGAGGAGAGGAGGTAGTGGGCGGCAGCTGAAGCTGCTGGCACACGGCGCAACTGGAGCAACTGGCACACGGGCAACTGGAGCAACTGGCACACTGGCAACTGGAGCAACTGGCACACGGGCTACTGGAGTAACTGGCTCCGCGGCTAAAAGTAGGGCAGACGAGCAACGGACTCACGGGCGACTGGAGCAACGGGCTCACGGGCGACTGGCGCAACGGGCTCACGCGCGACTGGCGCAACGGTCTCACGGGCGACTGGAGCTGCTGGCTTCACGGCGGCCACCCCCTTCAACCTCCCCAAACTATCCCACTCCCCCTGACACACACCCGCTGCTACACCGCTAGCTCCACTCCCCCTTCACCCCCCCTTAGTACCACTCCAACGGCTCCAACAAGTCCACCCCCCCTCAGCGGCAGCTGCAGCACAGGGAGACGGAGGAGGAGGAGGAGCAGGGAACGGCACACAGTGGCTTCACCCCCATACCCCTCACCCCCAAACCCTAATTCAGGAGAACGGGCTGTAGGAGGGGTGGGGCGCCAGTAGAAGCACGGGGGACAGCGGGGAGGGCAGGGGCAGCGAGGAAAGGGCCGCCCACGGGCCTGGCACAGCCGCCCGAACCGCGCGCAGGCGGCCCGAGCCGCGCGCGGGCCTGGCGCAGCCCGTACGGGCCGCGCGCGGGCCTGGCGTGTCAGAACATATAGCTTACTTGTTTCTGTAGGCTATAGTGGGGTATCCCATAGGGGGTACAACCCAAATTAGGGTTTCCTATTTGTACTCACTTCGTTCATAGTCATTTCATTCTCGTTCATATCTTCTCATGGAATCAGAGCAGGTCCCTTCCTAGGGACTGCTCCTAGGGCCCACCGAAGCGCGCCCCGAGGCGCGCGTTTTTTTTTTAGCGACCCTCCGTGTCGCCCTTACCGCCGTGCTCTCGCTTAGGCCCCTCGTCGGCCCCGCTTAGGCCCCTCGTCGGCCCCGCTTAGGCCCCTCGTCGGCCCCGCTTAGGCCCCTCGTCGGCCCCGCTTAGGCCCCTAGTCGGCCCCACTTAGGCCTCGTCGGCCCCGCGTAGGCCCCGTCGGCCCCGCTTAGGCCCCGCTTCGGCCCCGCGTCGGCCCCGCTTAGGCCCCGTCGGCCCCGCTACGGCCCCTCGTCGGCCCCACTTAGGCCCTGTCGGCCCCGCTTAGGCCTCGTCGGCCCCGCTTAGGCCCCGCTACGGCCCCGCGTCGGCCGTGCTTAGGCCCCGTCGGCCCGCCTAGGCCCCGCTACGGCCCCTCGTTGGCCCCGCCTAGACCCCGTCGGCCCGCTGTAGGCCCCGCTCCAGCCCGCCGTCGGCCCCGCTATAGCCCGCCGTCGGCCCCGCTACAGCCCGCCGTCGGCCCCGCTACAGCCCGCCGCCGGCCCCGCTACATCCCGCTGTCGGCCCCGCCCCAGCCCGCCGCCGGTCCCGCTACAGCCCGCCGTCGGCCCCGCTACAGCCCGCAGTCGGCCCGCCGTCGGCCCCGCTACAGCCCGCCGTCGGCCCCGCTACAGCCCCGCTACAGCCCCGCTACGGCCCGCCGCCGGCCCCCGCTACAACCCCGCTACGGCCCGCCGTCGGCCCCGCCGCCCGTGCTGCAGCCCGCCGCGCCACCGTGCAGCCGCCCGTGCAGCCGCCCACCGTGCCGCCCGTGAGCAGCCCTAGCCGCCCGTGAGCCGCCCGTGCAGCCGCCCGCGCCGCCCGTGAGCCCCTGCGTCACCCGAGCCGCGCGAGCCGCCCGAGCCGCCCGAGCCGCCCGAGCCGCCAGTGGAGCCGCACTCCTGCTCCTGTGGGGCCACTACTGCTCCTGGGCTGTGTTACTGTGCCGCTGACCTACCCGACTTTTCCTGCCCGGTGAGACTGTCAGCTGCTGTCATGGCCACCCCCACTGTCCTAGCTTTTGACGCTGAGGGTAGAGCCATTGACTTTGCAGTCTGGATTGAAGACCTGCAGCTGTACTTACTGTGTGATGCGATAGATGAGGTCTCTCTCTTTGACTTTGTCTCTGGCGCTGTCCCTGCCCCTCCTGCTGATGCTGACCCCGCCGTTCGCTCCAAGTGGGCGACCCGCGATGCTGCTGCACGTCTTGCTGTGCACGCTACTCCTCCCCTTCCTCCGCTACGCTTAGCCGCCTCATGCTACCGTTTCTCTTCCCTGACCTCGCTGCCTTTCCCACTGTTGCTGACCTCGTTACCCACCTCCGCGCTAGTGACGCTCGCTACCGCGCTGCCCTTTTGCTGAGTTCCGCGCCGCAAACCCTCCTCCCATGTACATCACTCTCTACTTTCTCGTCACTCGTCTCCCTGAGTCCCTTCGTGTAGTTAGGGACCAGTTTCTCTCTGTCTGTCCCACCACCCTCACCGTCGACCTCCTTGAGGAGTCCCTGCTAGCGGCTGAGAAGAGCATCGTCGCTGTAGGGGCCTCTCGGGGTGACCCTCGCACCCCCATTTTTGAGGGGTGTTCTCCTTCCCCCCTGCTGCCCTCTGTCGCCTCTGCCGCTGCGGTCGACCTCGCTGGTTTTGAGTCGGTCGGTGCGGCGTCTGCCCCCAGCGGTAGACGCCGCACTGACAAGGGCAAAGGGGGCAAGGGAGCGGGTGGAGCTAGAGGGGGCGGTGGCGGGGGAGGTGGGGGTGGCGGGGGGAGTGGGGGTGGCGGTGGAGGTGGTGGCGGGAGTGGAGGTACTGGTGGAGGCGGTGGAGGCGGAGGTGGCGGCGGAGGAGGTAGCGGAGGAGGCGGGGGTGAGGGTGCCGGTGGGGGCGGTGGCGGTGGAGACGGGGGTGGCGGTGGAGGCGGGGGTGGCGGTGGCGGCGGGGGTCGGAGTGGCTCGTCTCAGCGGAGCAGCTCTGGGGGTGGTCAGCGCCAGCAGCAGCAGCCGCAGCAGCAGCCACAGCAGCAGCAGCGCTCTCGCACCGTCCCCGCCCCTCAGCAGCTCCGTGAGTGGTACTTGCAGCGTCAGCGTGGTGGTGCGTTTGGTCCCTGCCCCTACGTTCTTCGCACCGGCGACCGTGTGGGGGAGAGGTGTGGAGGCACCCACACAGCCCGCCGCTGCTTTGGCCGACTGTCCGACGCCTGGCGTCAGCACTTTCCGGAGGCCGCTGAGATCCCCAGCTGGGGGGAGCTGTCTAGGGCTGGTGTAGCTATTTATGATCTTGACTTTGATGCTATTCTTTCTGCTATGTATGCTGTGACTGGTAGTGATGAGGATGACTGTTACCGGTGTTTCCCGCCCGACCCGGGCATTGGTACTGCTGCGTCAGGTACTCGTGAGGCTGCTGCTCTAGGTGCCAGTGCGTCTGTGCTCTCAGGTACTGGTGAGTCTGCCCTCTCATGTACTGTGTCGGCTTCGGCCTCTCACACCTTCACCCTTGACTCTGGAGCGTCTCGCTCCTTCTTTCGGGACCGCACCACTCTCACGCCGCTGAGTCGGTCGGTTGCGGTGTCCCTGGCTGACCCCTCTGGGGGGCCTGTCCTGTCTCGCTTCTCCACGGTCCTTCCGTGTCTGGCGGCCCCCTCTGGCACCCTGTCTGGTCTCTACCTCCCCTCGTTCTCGACGAACCTGGTGAGTGGTGCTGACCTACAGGATGCGGGTGTCCACCAGTTCACTCCTGCTCGTCAGCGGGTGACACACTGCACGGAGGCTAGCACAGGTCGCCACCTGGCTACGTTTATACGTCGGCCGGGGTCGAGCCTGTACACACTGACCACTGCTTCTCCTCCAGGTACTGAGTCTGGTAGGGTCCCTTCGTCTGGTCAGGTGTTTGCTGCAGCGTCCAGGTCTGGCCCTGAGTCTGCCCCCTGTTCATGTCGTCGTCTGTCTCACGAGACCCTCCTCTGGCACCACCGCCTTGGCCACCCCTCTCTGCTTCGGCTCAGAGGTATGGCCTCCCGTCTTCTTGTGTCTGGTCTTCCCCGGTCCCTCCCTCCCCTTCCTTAGGGCCCTGGCCCTGCCTGTGTCCCCTGTGTCGAGGGGCGCCAGCGTGCTGCCCCTCACTCCTCCCAGTTTCCTCCGACAGAGGCCCCGTTGCAGACGCTTCACATGGACGTGTGGGGCCCAGCCCGCGTCCGTGGACAGGGTCAGGAGCGCTACTTCCTGCTCGTTGTTGACGACTACTCGCGTTACACCACAGTCTTCCCCTTGCGCAGCAAGGGTGAGGTCAGTGAGGTGCTGATCGACTGGATCCGCGCAGCTCGTCTTCAGCTCAGGCAGAGCTTTGGCTCCGACTTTCCTGTGTTGCGTCTGCACTCGGACAGAGGCGGAGAGTTCTCCTCTGGCCTTCTACGTGCCTACTGTCGTGCGCGAGGCATCCGCCAGTCCTTCACGCTTCCGGACTCTCCGCAGCAAAATGGGATTGCTGAGCGCCGCATTGGCATGGTCATGGACGTCGCCCGTACGTCCATGATGCATGCGGCTGCCCCCCATTTTCTGTGGCCGTTTGCGGTCAGGTACGCAGCGCATCAGATCAACCTCCACCCCAGGGTCTCCAGGCCGGAGACCTCCCCAGCCCTGCTGTGGACGGGGAAGGTTGGCGATGCGTCGGCATTCCGGGTCTGGGGATCTCGGGCGTTTGTCCGCGACCTGTCTGCGGACAAGCTGTCCCCTCGCGCTTCTCCCTGCGTCTTCCTGGGGTTCCCCCCCGACGCCCCTGGGTGGCAGTTCTACCACCCCACCTCTCGACGTGTTCAATCCTCCCAGGACGTCACGTTCGACGAGTCGGTACCCTAATACCGCCTCTTCCCCTACCGCACTCCGTCCCTTCCCCCACCCCCGCTCTTCTTGGTACCAGGTCCCCCCCCGGTAGACCCCCTCCCCCCTCAGGATCCTGCCCCTTCAGGTGTGTCCCAGGTAGACGCGGTCGAGCCTGTCGAGGTCACTGGTGACTCTGGTGCTGCTGCGGGTGCTGAGCCTGGGGGTGCTGAGCCTGGGGGTGCTGAGCCTGGGGGTGCTGAGCCTGGGGGTGCGGAGTCTGGGGGTGCGGAGTCTGGGGGTGCGGAGTCTGGGGGTGCTGAGCCTGGGGGTGCTGAGCCTGGGGGTGCTGAGCTTGGGGGTGCTGTGCCTGGGGGTGCTGTGCCTGGAGGTGCTTCGTCGTCGTGAGCCACTCTCCCCACAGGAGCTGCGTGAGTGGTTTGCCAGGCGCTGGAGGCGTGCTGCTGGTGATGGAGGTTCTTCGCCTGCAGAGGGTGCCACTGCCGCAAGTCCCGGAGGTGCTCGTCTTGGGAGTACTGGAGCTGCTGGGTCTGAGGGTTCTCCTGGAGCTGGTGCTGCTGAGGGTGTTGGCGCTGCGACTGCCGCTGGCGGTCCGCCTGGCAGTGCTCCTGGTGGTGCTGCTGGAGGTTCTGGAGCTACTGGAGGTGCTGCTGGAGGTGCTGCTGGAGCGGGTACTCCTGCTGGGGGTACTGGTGCTGTCCCTGCTGTTTCTGGCGTCGTCGCGCGGCCCCGACCGTAATTCGTTCCGCTCCTGCAGCACGTTCTTGGTCTTACACCTTCTCCTGGTCCTCCTCCTCCTCCCTTAGAGGGTCCACGGCCTGTCCAGTCACAGCCACCGCTACAGCCTGCCTCCCCTTTGCCTGCTCCTTCTCCCTACGCTGGTCCGACTGGAGGTCTTACTGAGCTTCGTGAGCCTGCGTCTCGTCCTGCGTCGCCTGTTCGTACTGCGCGCGTTAGTGGTCGCGGGTCGCGTCAGCGTCCTCCTCCTGTCCCTGGCACGCACCGGATGTCACTGCGTCCGTCCACTGCTCCTCTGCGTGCCCCTTTGCCTTCTCCTCCTGCTTCCTCTCTTCCTGCTCTTGCCGACCCGGAGTCGGACTCTCTTCGTGCTGCCAGTCCTACTGTCACGCGTCTCCTTGCTACTGCTGTCACTGAAACTTCGTTCGAGTCGTCTGCTGCGTCTGCCCTTGTCACTGAGCTTGTCGACTTTGCTGCGCGCTGTCGTCTAGACTACGATGCAATTCTTGTCGCTGAGTCTGAGTCTGCCTGTCCTCCGTCCGTCGGGGGTGAGTGTGCCCTTGGCACGGACGTCCTTGAGGACAGGCAGGAGGAGTTCCAGTGTCTGGCCGCCGCTTCACCTCATCTCGCGTCTGTACTGCTAGCCCCTGAGGGAGACCCGGATGCACTTGACATCCCGACTCCGCGCTCTTACGCGGAGGCGATAGAGGGTCCCTACTCCTCTCAGTGGCAGGCAGCTATGGATGCAGAGATGGCTTCCTGGAAGTCCACAGGCACCTACGTTGACGCTATTCCCCCTCCTGGGGCGAACATAGTCAGTGGCATGTGGATTTTCAGGGTGAAGCGGCCGCCGGGTTCTCCGCCTGTCTTCAAGGCGCGTTACGTGGCTCGTGGCTTCAGTCAGCGGCAGGGGGTTGACTACTTTCAGACCTTCTCCCCCACCCCGAAGATGACCACTCTTCGGGTTCTACTGCACGTTGCTGCTCACCGTGACTACGAGCTCCACTCTCTCGACTTCAGCACCGCTTTCTTGCAGGGCAGCCTGCACGAGGAGATCTGGCTGCGTCGCCCACCTGGCTTCACTGGGTCTTTCCCTCCTGGTACCCAGTGGAGTCTCCGGCGTCCAGTCTACGGTCTCCGCCAGGCGCCACGTGAGTGGCACGACACACTGAGGACTACGCTCGCGGCACTTGGGTTTGCTCCTTCTACTGCCGACCCGTCGCTGTTTCTGCACACCGACACCTCGCTGCCGCCGTTCTACATCCTCGTGTACGTCGACGACTTGGTCTTTGCCACAGCTGACACTGCTGGACTCGCCTACGTGAAGTCCGAGCTGCAGAAGAGACACACGTGCACTGACCTGGGTGAACTGCGTAGCTACCTTGGCTTGCAGATCACCCGGGACAGAGCACGCCACACCATTACCCTAACTCAGTCACACATGGTGCAGCAGGTCCTTCAGCGCTTCGGCTTCACGTACTCCTCGCCTCAGGCCACTCCTCTGCCTACTCGCCACTCGCTCTCAGCTCTGCCTTCGGATGAGTCCGTAGAGTCGAGTGGCCCGTTTGCAGAGCTTGTTGGCTGCCTCATGTACCTGATGACCTGCACACGACCTGACCTTGCATACCCTCTTAGCATTCTCGCACGCTATGTTGCTCCTGGGAGACACCGACCAGAGCACATGGCTGCAGCGAAGAGGGTGTTGCGCTACTTGTGCAGTACGTCGGGCATGGGGCTAGTGCTTGGAGGGCGCAGTCCAGTGGTCCTCACTGGGCACGCAGACGCTTCTTGGGCTGACGACCAGGCTACGCAGCGGTCGTCACAGGGTTACACCTTCAGCCTTGGTTTCGGCTCTGTTTCGTGGCGGGCTACCCGCTCGTCTTCTGTTCTCGGCTCCAGTTGTGAGGCTGAGATCTACGCTGGGGCTATGGCTGCACAGGAGTTACGCTGGCTCACCTACCTGCTGACCGACCTTGGAGAGCAGCCTCGTTCTTCTCCAGTCCTGTACGTAGACAACAAGGCCATGCTGGCCTTGTGTCGAGAGCAGCGACTGGAGCACAGAACGAAGCACATTGCTCTCCGCTACTTTCTTGCTCGTGAGCTACAGCAGCGTGGTTAGTTGCGACTTGCGTACGTGGCCTCTGAGGCCAACACTGCTGATGTCTTCACCAAGGCACTTGCGCCTTGTGATCATCAGCGTTGTTGCACGCAGTTAATTCTTGTGCCTGTTTTGCCTCACTTGCTCTCCTCTTGACCTTGCTTGTACCTTCGCCTATATATACTCTTGCTCTTGCTTGCTTGACTCTTGTATATCTCTATATATGATCTTGCATGTGAACTGGCCTTCTGGCCTTTGAACTTGTGCTCGGAATGCGTGGTGACTTTGTGATCCACCCTGAGCTTTGCTTTGCTTTGCTTGACTGGTCTTGTGACCCCTTGTTCTCCCCACTTTGCCTATGGGGGTGTGTCAGAACATATAGCTTACTTGTTTCTGTAGGCTATAGTGGGGTATCCCATAGGGGGTACAACCCAAATTAGGGTTTCCTATTTGTACTCACTTCGTTCATAGTCATTTCATTCTCGTTCATATCTTCTCATGGCGCAGCCCGTACGGGCCGCGCGCTGGCCTGGCGCAGCCCGTACGGGCCGCGTCCGGGCCTGGCGCAGCCCTTACGGGCCGCACGCAGCCTGTACGGGCCGCGCGCGGGCCACGACGGGCGACGGGGGGCGGCGCGCGGGTCCCCGTCGCCCGTCGTAGCGCCTCCCGAGGGCGACACGCCGAGTGACGGGGCAGAAGCCCGCCGCGCGCCTCGGGGCGCACAGTGGGCAGAGAACCGCCGCGCGCCACGGGGCGCACGGCGGGCAGAAAACCGCCGCGCGCCTCGGGGCGCATGGCGGGAAGAAAAACTGCCGCACGCCACGGGGCGTGCGGCACAGAGAGTAGCAGTGGAAGTTGCAGCGGAAGCAACGAGGTGGTGAGCCCACCCACAGGATCGATCCAAGGGGATTGACCTGCTTTGATAGCATGTGAAAGTTTAAAAGGAAGAAGGGGGTTGCACTAATTAGAATGAGGATACAAATAGCAAACCCTAGAAGGGTTGTACTCGCTATAGAGCAACCCACTACAGGCTAGAGCATAATATTCTGACAGCCCGTACGCGCCCTGCCTTGCCTGCGTTGCGCTGCCCGCGCGCGCCTCTGCCTTGCCTGCGCTGCGCTGCTCGCGCGCGCTGCTCTAGTCCCGCGCGTGCCGCTTCAGCAGCTTGCGCGCCCTGCCCTGCCCTGTCCTGCAGCTCGCGCGTCGCCCGCCTACTGCCCGCGCGTCGCCCAATAGCAGCCCGCTCAGCCCGCGCTCTGCCTCTGCCCATGCGTCAACCCCCTGCAGCTCGCACGTCGCCCGCTTCCTGCCCACGCGTCGCCCGCTAGCAGCCCGCGCGGCCCGCGCTTTGCCTCTGCGTGCCCGCGCGCTGCCACTGCAGGCCTGTAAGGCGCCCGCGCCGCCCTCGCCGCCCGCACGCAGCCGTCGCCTAATCGCTCGCAGCCCCTGCTGGCCAGCGCGCCGCCTTCGCCGCCCGTTCGCGGCCTCTGCCCACCCGCGCGCTGCCCCTTACCCGCGCGCTTCCCCTTACCTGCGCGCGCGCTGCCTATGCCAGCCAGCGCACCGCCCACCTGCAGCCCGCGCTCTGCCTTTGCTGATCCGTGCGCCGCCACTGCAGCCCTGCTGCTCCGCTTCTCCTGGCCTGCTCTCTGCCCTGCAGTCCGTGCTCTGCTTTGCCACCTGCGCGCTACTCTCACCTGCGCTGCACTCATGGCGACTCTCAATGTCCTCGCTTTCGATCCTGACGGTCGCCCGATAGAGTTTGCCACTTGGCTCGACGACCTGCAACTGTTTCTTATGACTGATGCCAAAGACGGAGTTTCACTGTTCGATTACACGTCTGGCACTTTCGTTGCTCCTGCTGACACTGCTGCCGCTCTCGACCACTCACAGTGGCAGAGTCGTGATGCTACTACGCGCCTCGCTATTCGCAACTATCTGCCAATCACTGAGCGCGCGCACTTTAGTCAGCACAAGACTGCCAAGGCACTGTATGAGGCTGTAGTTGCTCGCTACTCTTCCCCAGCCACTGCACCCATTGGTCGTCTTATGCTACCCTACCTGTTCCCCGACCTGTCCTCGTTTACCACTGCTGAGGACCTCATCTCTCACCTGCGCTCTAGTGACGCTCGCTTTCGTGCCGCCCTTTCAGACGAGTTCCTCGCCGAGAATCACCCCCCGATGTACTTTACCCTCTACTTCCTCGTCACCCGCCTCCCTGACACTCTTCGCTCAGTCAGGGACCACTTTCTAGCCCTAGACCCTACCACTCTCACTGTCGCCGACTTCGAGAAGCACCTCCTCACAGCCGAAAAGAACATTCTTGCTGTAGGTGCTACTCGTGGCACTCCTCGCACTCCCCTCTTTGAGGGGTGCTCCCCCTCCCCTCTTGTCCCCTCCTACGCCTCTGCTGCTGCTGCTCTCGACTACCTTGGTGCTGAGGAGGTCGGGGCTGCTTCTGCTCCTAGTGGGAAGCGTCACAGTGCCAGGGGCAACAGGGGTGGCAGGGGAGGTGGAGGTGGCGGTGGAGGGGGCGGTAGTGGAGGCGGTGGGGGAGGTGGAGGTGGTGCGGGTGGTCGTGGGGGTGGAGGTGGTGGTGGGGGTGGCGGTGGTACTGGGAGCAGTGGAGGAGGCAGCGGCGGTAGTGGGGGAGGAGGGAGTGGTAGTGGCAGCGGTGGTGGGGGCTGGAGTGGAACCGGCCAGAAGGGGAGCTCCAGTGGTGGCCAGGGACAGAAGCAGCAGAGGCAGCAGAAGTAGCAGCAGCAGCGTCAGCAGCAGACCCTCTCCCCTCAGCAGCTTCATGACTGGTATGCTCAGCGTGGGGTGTCTGGGGGTCCTGTTCGCTGCCCGTATATCATTCGCACAGGAATCCCGCACTGGTCGGCCATGCGGCGGGTATCACACTGAGCACCGCTGCTTCTCTCGGCTTAGTGACGCCTGACGCGCCAAGTTTCCTGAGGCTACTGAGTTCCCCCCTTGGGCAGACCTGCTTAGGCGTGGTGTTCCTATCTTTGATCTTGACTATGATGTAATTCTTGCTGCCATGTATGCATTGACTGTTAGTGCTGAGGGTGGCTGCTACTTGTGTATGCCGCCTGACCCAGGTATAGAGTTTGCAGCCCTAGGTGCTAGTGAGTCTGTTCTCCCTGGTACTGTGTCCGCTCAGGCCTTGCACACCTTTACACTTGACTCTGGTGCTTCCCGCTGTTTCTTTCGCGACAGTACCACTGTAACTCCCCTCCCTGCACCTGTCCCTGTCTCACTGGCTGACCCCTTTGGGGGCCTAGTGCTAACACGGTCCACTACTGTGCTTTCGTGTCCGGCGGTCCCGTCTGGTGAGCTGTCTGGTCTCCACCTCCCCTCATTCTCTACAAACCTGGTGAGCAACGCCGTCCTTCAGGATCATTGGGTTGACACCTTTACTCCTGGAGAACAGCGTGTGGCAATCTGCACGTGCTCTCGGACTGGCCGCCACCTGGCCACGTTCACACGTGCGTTTGGGTCCAGTCTATACACCCTCACCACTGCGTCACGCTACACCCCTTTGTCTCCTCAGTTGTACGCGTACGCTCAGGTAGCTACCTAGTGTGAGTGTCGCCGCGTGTTGCACCAGACTCTCCTTTGGCACCACCGCCTTGGTCACCCCTCCTTGCCTCGCCTTCGTGGCATGCACTCTCGCTCTCTAGTCTCTGGTCTTCCCAGGTCTTTGCCCTCCCTCCCTCCCTCGCCTGCGCCGCCCTGCATTCCTTGCGTCGAGGGGCGGCAGCGCGCCACTCCTCACTCCTCCTCGTTCCCTCCCACAGAGGCTCCACTGCAGACTCTCCACCTGGACGTGTGGGGCCCAGCCCGCGTCCGTGGACAGGGCCACGAGCGGTACTTCCTGCTGGTAGTCGACGAGTACACGCGTTACACCACGGTCTTCCCCTTGCAGCGCAAGGGGGATGTCCCTGATGTTTTGATCCCTTGGATCCGCGGTGTTCGTCTCCAGCTCCGCGAGCAGTTCGAGTCGGAATTTCCTGTCCTGTGTCTGCACTCGGACAGAGGTGGTGAGTTCTCCTCTGGCCTCTTGCCAGCCTACTGTGAGGAGCACGTCATCCGCCAGACGTTCACGCTTGCGGCCTTTGCAGCACAATGGGATTGCTGAGCGCCGCATTGGCTTAGTCATGGAGGTCGCTCGTACCTCCATGATTTATGCGGCTGCCCCCCATTTTCTGTGGCCGTTTGCGGTCCGATACGCCGTGCATCAGCTCAACCTCTGCCCCTGTGTCTCCGTTCCGGAGACTTTGCCCACACTACGTTGGACGGGGGAGGTTGGCGATGCGTCGCGGTTCCGGGTCTGGGGTGCTCGTGCCTTTGTCCGCGATACCACTGCGGACAAGCTCTCCCCTCGCGCCATTCCCTGCGTCTTCCTTGGTTTTCTCCCTGACGCGCCTGGCTGGCAGTTTTACGACCCCGCCTCGCGTTGTGTCTTTACGTCTCAGGACGTCACCTTTGACGAGTCGGTCCCCTTTTATCGTCTTTTTCCCTACCGCTCTGCCCCTCTCCCCCCCCCCCCCCACCGCTCTTTCTCGCTCCAGGTCCTCCCCAGGTAGACCCCCTCCCCGCTCCAGGTACTGCTCCTTCAGGTGTGTCTCAGGTAGACCCTCCTCCCTTGACTGAGCCGGTTGAGGTCCCTTGCTGGCGTTGGAGGTTCTGCAGCTGCTAGAGGTTCTGAAGCTGGTGGAGGTGCTGGCGCTGGAGGCGCTGGAGCTTCTGGAGCTGCTGGAGGTGCTGGTATTGGAGGTGCTGGCACTGGAGGTTCTAGAGCTGCTGGAGGTGCTGGCGCTGGAGGCACGGGAGCTGGAGGTGCTGGAGCTTCCGGTGGCACTGCACAGCCGCGACCGTTCTTCGCTGCGCCGTCACCTTCGTCTCTGCCACTGCCTGTCTCCGTGCTTCGTCAGGTTCTTAGCCTCCCGTCTTCTATTGGTCTTCCGTTACAGCGTGGCTCCCTGCTGCCTGCTCCTTCTCCTTACACTGAGCAGGCAAGAGGTCTTGCTGAGCGTCGTGAGCCTGCGTCTCGTCCTGTCTTGCCTGTTCGCACTGTTCGCACTGGTCGTACTGTTCGTCGTGTTCCTTGTAAGCGTCCGCCGGCTGTCCCCGGCACGCACCTCATGGCCATGCGTCCTTCCTCTGCTCCGCAGCGTGTTCCCCTGCCGTCCCCTCCTGCGTCTTCTCTGCGTGACATTCCAGACCCTGAGTCTGACCGCCCTCGTTCTACATACACGAGGATGTAGAACGGCGGCAGCGAAGTGTCGGTGCGCAGAAACAGCGACGGGTCAGCAGTGGAAGGGGCGAACCCAAGAGCCGCAAGCGTCGTCCTCAGTGTGTCGTGCCACTCACGAGGCGCCTGGCAGAGACCGTAGACCGGCCGATAGAGGCTCCACTGGGTACCAGGAGGGAACGACCCAGTGAAGCCAGGTGGGCGGCACAGCCAGATCTCCTCGTGCAGACTTCCATGTAAGAACGCTGTGCTGAAGTCGAGAGAGTGAAGCTCTTAGTCACGCTGAGCGGCGACGTGCAGCAGCACCCAAAGAGTGGCCATCTTCAGGGTGGGGGAGAAGGTCTGGAAGAAGTCAACTCCCTGTCGCTGACTGAAGCCTCGTGCAAAGTAACGAGCCTTGAAGACAGGCGGAGAACCCGGCGGCCGCTTCACCCTGAAAATCCACATGCCATCGACGATTTTCGCCCCAGGAGGGGGAACCTCATCGACTTAAGTGCCTGTTGACTTCCAGGATGCCATCTCTGCATCCATGGTTGTCTGCCACTGAGAGGAGTACTCACCCGCGATCGCCTCAGCGTAAGAGTGCGGGGTCGGGATGTCTGGTGCATCCGGGTCTCCCTCAGGGGCAAGCAGCATGGCCACGAGATGAGGTACAGCAGCCGCAAGACGCTCAAAGTCCTCCTGCCTGTCCTCAAGGACGTCCGTGCCAAGAGCACACTCACCCCCGACGGACGGAGGACATACAGACTCAGACCCAGCAACAAGACTAGCAGCGAAGTCTAGACGACAGGCAGCAGCAAAGTCAACAAGCTCAGCGACTAAGGCAGACGCAGCAGTGGACTCAAACGAAGGGTCAGTGACAACAGTGGCAAGTAGACGCGTGACAGTAGGGTGAGCAGCACGAACGCAGTCAGACTCAGGGTCTGGAACGTTAGGCAGAGAAGACGCAGGAGGGGACGACAGGGGAACACGCTGCGGAGCAGAGGAAGGATGCAGGGCCATGAGGTGCGTGCCGAAGACAGCTGGCGGACGCTCATGAGGAACACGACGAACAGTACGACCAGTTGGAACAGTGCGAACAGGCGAGACAGGACGAGACGCAGGCTCACGACGCTCAGCAAGACCTCCTGTCTGCTCAGTTTAAGGAGAAGGAGCAGGCAGCGGGGAGCCAGGCTGTAACGGAAGACCAGTAGAAGACGGGAGGCTAAGAACCAGGCGAAGCACGGAGTCAGGCGGTGGCAGAGACGAAGGTGATGGCGTAGCGAAGAATGGTCGCGGCTGTGCAGTGCCACCAGCACCAGTAGCTCCAGCACCTCCAGCACCTCCAGCAGCTCCAGAACCTCCAGCTCCCGTGCCTCCAGCGCCAGCACCTCCAGCAGCTCCAGAACCTCAAGCGCCAGCACCTCCAGTACCAGCACCTCCAGCAGCTCCAGAATCTCCCGCTCCAGCGTCTCCAGCGCCAGCACCTCCACCAGCTCCAGAACCTACAGCAGCTCCAGAACCTCCAGCGCCAGCACCTCCAGAACCAGTGCCAGCAGCAGCACCACCCCCAGAACGGGCACCTCCAGCCCCAGGGTATCCAGCTTCAGTGAAGACAGCAGCACCTCCAGGTCCAGCGCTACCTCCAGCCCCAGCAGCTCCAGTACCTCCAGTACGAGCACCGCCGGGACCAACGGCTCCAATAACTCCAGTAGAAGCGCCCTCCAGTAGCAGAGGCACCAACTTCAGTGCCCCCAACGCCAACGCCTCCCGCAGCAGGGCCCTCAGCTCCAGCGGCGCGACCCTGACGGCGAACGCACCACTCATGCAGCTGCTGTGGGGAGAGAGGGAGACGCCGACTAGAGTGCTGCGGCGAGGCACTAGCAGAGCGACTACGAAGACGGCCACTCCAAGGAGACTGCTCACCAGACGCCTCAGTACCCCCCGGCGCAGCACCCCCTGTTGGTGCAACCCTACGGTTTGCACTCGGCTTGTTGTCCGTGTGCGTGCATATGTGTGTCTATGGAATGGTATGAGGGCATGGGATAATATATATTTCATGCTTATAATTGTGTGTGAATGTTGAGTCATGATGTCGAGTGTGTGTGTCGAGTCAATAGCGAGTTATCGCTAGACGCGTGTTACGCGGTCGTTTGTGTCTCGCACGCGGTTTCTATTTTGTCGTGCGCGGTTTCTATTTTGTCCTGTGTCGAACGTTCGGCGTGTCGCAGGTGTGTGTAGAAGACCCATCAAAAACTCAAGGATGAGTTTGTGATGAAGAGCCCAAGCCTTGGTGTCAAGCCTCAAGTGATTTCGAAGCTCGCCAAAAGGGTGCACCTCAAGATATTGAAGATAGTTACATTACTTTGTGTAGTGTAACATTTCACTTGGTGTAGGCCCTAGTGAAAGGTAGTTTCGAGACCCTTCGTGGTTGGGGACAGTGTGGCACTGTTCCACATCACTGTACCTCGACTCTTGGGGTTTGTAGGAGCTGGGAGTCATTCCCAACTCGTAACTCTTTCTAACTCTTCCTATCTTGTGTTCTAAGACTATGTTGCTACCATAGTGCTGTTCGTTCAAACCGACGCTGTGTCGTCAATACTTGGTCAAATCGTGCGATCTAAATTGCCTAGTGTAGGCGAGAATAAGACGCTCCAGATCCAAGTTGAATCAAGTCATTTGAAGTTGTGACCAGAACGCTATGAACGTTTGAAGCCGCTGTGCAGAAATCCGACTGTGCACTCTATCTTTCGTTTTAGGCACATTGGAGCCTAGTGTGACTATAACAAGTGGTATCAGAGCCCCTTGGAGCAGTTTCGACAATGGCTGGACCTGAGGAAAGGGGTGGCAGAGGTGCTGGTGGCAGAGGAGAAGCCCAAGCTCAAGGCCAACCCCGTGATTCAGCCATGGCGCCTGTGCAATCAAGTGTTGGCCCATCTAGGGATGAGCCTAGAGTGTTTGGCCTTGACAAGTTCAATGGTGACAACTTTGCTGAGTGGTCCTTCAGAATGGAGAACATATTTGACCACTATGACCTGTTGGAGGTAATGGAAGGAACGGAGAAGCGTCCCGAGAACGACCCGGAGAAGAGCCCGTGGGTGCGGAAGAGCGCACAAGACTACCTCCTACTTGGGCAAGCGTTGGGGAGCAGCCAAATCCGTCACATCAAGCCTTTCCAGCGTGAACCAGAGAAGGGACCAAAGGCATGGGCTGCTCTCAAGGGTGTACACGCTCCTGCAACAGCGGCGGTAGCTGTGGTGCTGGAACGGCAAATGGCGACACTACGAATTGAAGAGGATGAAGCGGTTGAAGAAGGGGTGCAGAAATTCTTCGACTTGTTGACGCGGCTTGAGGGAGCTAATTTGAACTATAGTGAGCTCCAAAAGAAGACCAAGTTGCTGGCCCTACTCCCTGAGTCATGGTCCTCGCTCATCATCAACCTTAATCGCGACTTGCCCCGCCTCTCGCTTGAAGACGTGAAGCGAGCTATCCTTCAAGAGGATTTCCGCCGCCGTGAGTTGGCGAGTGCGGATGGCGCTGGGGCAGCGAGCATCGGCCGTGGATATGGTCTAGGAAGAGGTAGAGGACGAGGGGGAGGAAGGTTTGGTGGCAGCAACTTCGGCGGAGGCCGCGGGAGTGGCGGTTATGGCAGCGACGACAAGAGCTACGGACGCGGTCGCGGCCGATTCGACGGCGAGTGTCACTATTGCCACAAGAGCGGACACATGTGGCGCGTCTGCTACAAACTCCCTGATGGTTGGACCCCTGCTCAAGGCCAAGAAGGTAGAGGAACAGGAGGAGGGAGAGGAAGAGGCCGTGGAGGCCGTGGCGGCCGCGGTGGCGGAGCTGCAAACATGAAGAGCGGAGACAACGACAAGGACCCGAGCAACGATCGGTACCCGGGTCTATTCTACTTCGTGTCGACGCAAGTACCGACTGGTCCAGAGAAGGATGAAGGCTTTGAGGAACCAGCAGCTGTGGGGAAGGTGACTCTACACCCTCTGGACTATTGGGTGATCGATAGTGGCGCTACCTATAGCATGACACCTCGCCCGGACTTGCTCACCGAACTCGAACCGTCACCGGTGAAGCATGACACATCAGCTTTAGGGCAGCGAGCGGAGGTGAAAGGCATGGGCAAGGCCATGTTTAAGGGTGCTGATGGGAAGATGGTGGGCCTCAAGAATGTGCTTTGGGTGCCCAGCCTTGCTGCCAACCTGATTTCTGTGCGGCGGTTGGCAAAGGCCGGCATGGACACGAACTCAAAGGGAGCCAAGACCTACACCGCAAGGCTTGGCGATCGGATTCTTTGGAACCTTCATGAGGACAGAGATGTCTACAACGAGATGTGGCAGATCCCTGTGGTCCCAATGCCTAAGGAGAGGCAAGTGGCATCAAGCGACAGCACCAAAGGTGGAGCGGTTGGTAGCGGCGATTGCGCGGACGGTCGCGCTAAGGAGAAGGAGTCCAAGAAGTGCAATCTTGGAGGGACCAGCAAGCTTGGTGAACCTATGGAGAGAGGTGCAGCAGCCAAGGAGCAGCTGGCACACGGGCTACTGGAGTAACTGGCTCCGCAGCTAACAGTAGCGGCCGACGAGCAACGGACTCACGGGCGACTGGAGCAACGGGCTTACGGGCGACTGGCGCAACGGGCTCACGGGCACTGGCGCAACGGTCTCACGGGCGACTGGAGCTGCTGGCTTCTCGGCGGCCACCCCTTTCAACCTCCCCAAACTATCCCACCCCCATTTCACACACCCCCTACTGCACCCCTAGGGTCACTCACACCCCACCCCCTAGCACCACTCCGTCGACTCCCACACACCCACCCCCCTCAGCGGCAGCTGCAGCAGTGGGAGACAGAGGAGGAGGAGGAGCAGGGGAGACCGCACGCGGCCCCCTCAGGTCGCCTTGACAGGCGACGGGAAAAAGGGGGGGGGGGGGGGTGCACGTGCCCCCGGTGCGCCGCGGCTGGCAAGGAGGCATGGCCAGGGCGGGGCCGGGGCCGCAAGTGGCGGCGACAGGGCCGCTGGCGGCGACGACGGGGCCGCTGGCGACGGTTCGGGGCCGATAGGAGCGGCGACGGGGGGGCGACGCGCGGGTCCCCGTCGCCCGTCGCAGCGCCTCCCGGGGGCGACGCGCCGAGTGACGGGGCAGAAACCCGTCGCGCGCCTCGGGGCGCACGGCGGGCAGAAAACCGCCGCGCGCCTCGGGGCGCACGGCGGGCAGAAAACTGCCGCGCGCCTCGGGGCGCACGGCGGGAATAAAAACTACCGCACGCCACGGGGCGTGCGGCACAAAGAGTAGCAGTAGCAGTTGCAGCGGAAGTAACGAGGTGGTGAGCCCACCCACAGGATCGATCCAAGGGGATCGACTTGCTCTGATAGCATGTGATAGTTTAGAAGAAAGAAGAGGATTGCACTAGCAAGAATGAGGATACAAATAGCAAACCCTAGAAGGGTTGTACTCGCTATAGAGCACCCCACTACAGGCTAGAGCATAATATTCTGACAGGTAGATATAGGAAACAAAGAGGTGCACCACCTATAAAGTAAATATCTACACAGCTAGAACTACATGCAGGTATAAGAATATAATTCTGACATAGAGCAGCGCGCGCGAGCAGCACAACGCAGGCAAGGCAGAGGCGCGCGCGGGCAGCGCAGCGCAGACGTGGGGTAGCTCAGTAACCGCAATAGTAGGTGGGCCCTAAAAAATCGGTCCTACGGACCTACTGGTCTGAATACCATGTCAGAAACAACTAGCAGGAATGGATGAACTAGGTTAAAGTTTGGTACAAGTATGAAAACCCTAAAGGGGCTATACCCCGTATTGGCTACCCCACTACAGCCTACATATATGTAACACATATATAATCTGACAAAACCCTCGTAGGGTAATGCGCCGGGAAAAAAAAGGCCAGCGGGAATCCCCTGGCGTGGCCACTTGAGCAATTATCACCTAATTTGATGGCATCTGAGCAATTCGAGGCCACGTGAGCAAGAATGAATCACCGAACATGGTTCTCGAGAAATTCTCTCTGCAATAAAGTCTTCTGTCTGGGCCGTGAAAGGTAGAGACAAAGGACCCTAGAAAGCGCAGGTTCAGAAGTACCTCTTTTGCGGTAACTAAAAACCCATTTCAGAAGTATGGCTACTCGTTTCAAAAGCAGAACTCAACAACCTCGGTGATACAGGATTCGCAAATAGGGTATCTTCATGAACGAATGTGAAACGGGTTTGAACCACAATGTGAGGACGCCATAGGCTATCGTCAGAACTTGTTCGTCTTAGGATCGTGAACACCTTAGTCGGCAATAGTCTGTTGGAATGTGAAGAGAATTATACTTAGCATTCCCGTAGGTGCAACAGTATCGGACCTGACTCTATCGAAACAGCAACAACCGCAGTATCGGATCAGCCCGTATCGAGGGTAGGAAGGTCAACAGTCGCAAGAGTCAACTGTTGCGACTGTTGACCATCTGGACCGACGCTTGACTTACCATCGAGGTATGGCAACAGGCGTAACTGTACAGGTTACATGCAGCGACTCGGTAACAAGAAGGTAGTACAACACTCATAGTCACTATAGAAATGCCTGTAAAGCAGTTATAATAAGGGAATGTACCCCTTAGAGTACATGGCTATGACTATTTATTGTGAAGAATGAGGAATGAGAAAGGAGAGCATTCACTAGCAAGCAGTTGAGTACATATAGCAAACCCTAAGTTGGGTTGTACTCACTATTGAGTACCCCACTGCAGGCTAGACAAACATAACATTCAGACACACCCCCATAGCCAAAGTGGGGTGTAATCAGCACAACAA